TTTCTTGGTGTTGGTCAGTGAAACATATCGTTAACTGTGTAGATGTAGACCAGTGCAATTTGTCGTTTCCTTTGTGGGTGTTGACCAGCGTGATATATCGTTAACTTTATTGATGTTGACCAGTGTGATACATCGTTGACCTTGAAGATGTTGACAAGTGTGATACATTGTGACTTTTGGGTGTTGACCAGTGTGATATATCGTTGACTTTTGGTTGTTGACCAGTGAAACAAATCGTTGACTTTCTTGGCGTTGGTCAGTGAAACATATCGTTGACTTTGTGGTTGTTCACCAGTGTAATATATCGTTGACTTAAAGGTGTTGACAAATGTTATATATCGTTTACTTTGTAGACATTGACAAGTGTGATATAGTGTTGACGTTTGGGTGTTGACCAGTGTAATACATCGTTGACTTTTGGGTGTTGACCAGTGTGATATATCTTTGACTTTTGGGTGTTGGTCAGTATAACAAATCGTTGACTTTTAGGTGTTGACCAGTGTGATACATCGTTGACCTTGAAGATGTTGACAAGTGTGATACATTGTGACTTTTGGGTGTTGACCAGTGTGATATATTTTTGACTTTTGGGTGTTGACCAGGGTAATAAATCGTTGACTGTTAAGGTGTTGACCAGTGAAACAAATCGTTGACTTTCTTGAGGTTGGTCAGTGAAACATATCGTTGACTTTGTGGTTGTTCACCAGTGTAATATATCGTTGACTTAAAGGTGTTGACAAGTGTAATATATAGTTGAATTTTGGGTGCTGACCAGTGTAACAAATCGTTGACTTTGTGGGTGTTGACCAGTGAAACATATCGTTAACTGTGTAGATGTAGACCAGTGCAATTTGTCGTTTCCTTTGTAGATGTTGACCAGCGTGATATATCGTTAACTTTGTTGATGTTGACCAGTGTGATATATTTTTAACTTTGTTGAAGTTGACTAGTGTGATACATTTTCAACTTTGTTGATGTTGACCAGTGCGATATATGGTCAACTTTGTTGATCTTGACCAGTGTGATATATTTTCAACTTTGTTAATGTTGACCAGTGTAATATATCGTAGACATTGGGTGTTGACCATTGTAATACACCGTTGACTTTGTTGATGTTGACCAATGTGATAAATTGTCAGCTTCGTAGGTGCTGACAAGTGTGATATATCGTTGACTTTGGGTGTTGACCAGTTTAATATATCGTTGACCTTTTGGCGTTGACCAGTGTAATACACTTTGTATATCGTTAACTTTGTAGATGTTGACCAATGCTATACATCGTTTACTTTGTAGGCATTGACAAGTGTTATATATTGTGAACTTTGTTGATGTTGACCAGTGTGGTACATCGTTGACTTTTGGGTGTTGACCAGTGTAATAAATCGTTGACTGTTATGTGTTGACCAGTGTGATATATCGTTGACTATTCGGTGTTGACCAGTGAAACAAACCGTTGACTTTCTTGGTGTTGGTCAGTGAAACATATCGTTGACTTTGTGGTTGTTCACCAGTGTTATATATCGTTGACTTAAAGGTGTTGACAAGTGTTATATATCGTTGACTATTGGGTGTTGACCAGTGCAATTTGTCGTTTCCTTTGTGGGTGTTGACCAGCGTGATATATCGTTAACTATGTTGATGTTGAGCAGTTTAATACATCGTTGACTCTGCTGATGTTGACCAGTGTGATATATGTTTAACTTTGTTGATGTTGACCAGTGTGATATATTTTCAACTTTGTTGATGTTGACCAGTGCGATATATGTTCAACTTTGTTGATTTTGACCAGTGCGATATATGGTCAACTTTGTTGATCTTGACCAGTGTGATATATTTTCAACTTTGTTGATGTTTACCAGTGTAATATATCGTAGACATTGGGTGTTGACCATTGTATGTATCGTTAACTTTGTTGGTATTTACCAGTATATTACACAGTTGACTTTGTTGATGTTAACCAATGTGATACATTGTCAACTTCGTAGGTGTTGACAAGTGTGATATATCGTTGACTTTGGGTGTTGACCAGTTTAATAAATCGTTGACCTTTTGGCGTTGACCAGTGTAATACATTTTGTATATCGTTTACTTTGTAGATGTTTACCAGTTTTAATATCGTTTACTTTGTAGACATTGACAAGTGTGATATAGCGTTGACGTTTGGGTGTTGACCAGTGTAATACATCGTTGACTTTTGGGTGTTGACCAGTGTGATATATCTTTGACTTTTGGGTGTTGACCAGTGAAACAAATCGTTGACTTTCTTGGTGTTGGTCAGTGAAACATATCGTTGACTTTGTGGTTGTTCACCAGTGTTATATATCGTTGACTTAAAGGTGTTGACAAGTGTTATATATCGTTGAATTTTGGGTGTTGACCAGTGTAACAAATCGTTGACTTTGTTGGTGTTGACCAGTGAAACATATCGTTAACTGTGTAGATGTAGACCAGTGTAATTTATCGTTTCCTTTGTAGATGTTGACCAGCGTGGTATATCGTTAACTTTGTTGATGTTGACCAGTGTGATATATTTTTAACTTTGTTGAAGTTGACTAGTGTGATATATCTTCAACTTTGTTGATGTTGACCAGTGCGATATATGGTCAACTTTGTTGATCTTGACCAGTGTGATATATTTTCAACTTTGTTAATGTTGACCAGTGTAATATATCGTAGACATTGGTTGTTGACCATTGTAATACACCGTTGACTTTGTTGATGTTGACCAATGTGATAAATTGTCAACTTCGTAGGTGCTGACAAGTCTGATATATCGTTGACTTTGGGTGTTGACCAGTTTAATATATCGTTGACCTTTTGGCGTTGATCAGTGTAATACACTTTGTATATCGTTAACTTTGTAGATGTTGACCAGTGCTATTCATCGTTTACTTTGTAGGCATTGACAAGTGTGATATATTGTTAACTTTGTTGATGTTGACCAGTGTGATATATCGTTGACTTTTGGGTGTTGACCAGTGTAATAAATCGTTGACTGTTATGTGTTGACCAGTGTGATATATCGTTGTCTTTTGGGTGTTGACCAGTGAAACAAATCGTTGACTTTCTTGATGTTAGTCAGTGAAACATATCGTTGACTTTGTGGTTGTTCACCAGTGTTATATATCGTTGACTTAAAGGTGTTGACAAGTGTTATATATCGTTGACTATTGGGTGTTGACCAGTGCAATTTGTCGTTTCCTTTGTGGGTGTTGACCAGCGTGATAGATGGTTAACTTTGTAGATGTTGAGCAGTTTAATACATTGTTGACTCTGTTGATGTTGACCAGTGTGATATATGTTTAACTTTGTTGATGTTGACCAGTGTGATATATTTTCAACTTTGTTGATGTTGACCAGTGCGATATATGTTCAACTTTGTTAATGTTGACCAGTGCGATATATGATCAACTTTGTTGATCTTGACCAATGTGATATATGTTCAACTTTGTTGATGTTGACCAGTGTGATATATTTTCAACTTTGTTGATGTTGACCAGTGTAATATATCGTAGACATTGGGTGTTGACCATTGTATGTATCGTTAACTTTGTTGGTATTTACCAGTATATTACACCGTTGACTTTGTTGATGTTGACCAATGTGATAAATTGTCAACTTCGTAGGTGCTGACAAGTGTGATATATCGTTGACTTTGGGTGTTGACCAGTTTAATATATCGTTGACCTTTTGGCGTTGACCAGTGTAATACATTTTGTATATCGTTAACTTTGTAGATGTTGACCAGTGCTATACATCGTTTACTTTGTAGGCATTGACAAGTGTGATATAGCGTTGACTTTTGGGTGTTGACCAGTGTAATACATCGTCACCTTTGTACATGTTGACCAGTGTGATATATCGTTAACTTTGTAGGTGTTGACCAGTGTGATATATCGTTGACTTAGTAGATGTTGACCAGTGAAGTTAATAGTTGATCTTGGGTTGTAAGCTATTGTTATTTATCGTTGACTTTGTTGGTGTTGCCAGTGTTATATATCATTAATATCAAAATATTAGCCACACGAGTGAAATATATTTGGTATTACTGATGATACTCTTAGTTATTCTGTTTACTACACTTTATTTTACGAAAACCTAACCCGGAACGCAAAACGGCACATAAAACTGACACTACTTGATCTGGATACTATTACTACTAGTGTTTCTAGACAACTTTATGCGACAAAATATAGTCCTGTCTGTAAACAAAAAATGTAAAAAATCATAATCAAATTATTTTAAATACTCAATTTTATTAAGAAGGCATTTAAGGATGTACTCTTCTGAGGTTTCACTCTCGTTCAAGTCTCGTTTTGATGTCATATAAAGTTTTTTTTGTAATATTTAACAAACTATGATCAATTTGAATAGTGAACACGAATCTGAAAAGGTGTATTTCTTGCGCTTCACGGAAAGCAAATGTTAAAACTTGTTGACGCTAGATTGACCACTTAAATCGTCAGTGGGTCGGCATTGATAAAGGAACGAAGTTTATTTATACTGTACAACTTTATAATGTTCAATATAATGAAAATAATATGCAACAAAGTGGAAAACTATATATATATATTTTTTACTTATTTTGTAACTGAAGCACTTTTAAATTTTAGTTAATAAGTTAAAGAAAAAATTACATCCATAATTTAAAGAAAAAGTCCCGTAATATCAGATCAGATCACTACGCGTTGTTGATAAGCGCATAATCTACAATTGTGGGGAGTGGGGGAAATGTTGAGTGGTTTTGTCACCACTAATCCTGATGATAAAATATCAACACCACCTATGTACAAATGTAAGCTATACGTAAGGCCCTGTATAAGTCGGATATACGTATAGAAGAATCATCCATGAACAAATTGCAATTGTTGTCTCTGTATAGTACAAGAATTTTATTCAGTCATACAGGTTGATACTTTTTAAACCAATGTCAATTTTATATTATACCATATTTATACTATACATGTTGTATTAATTACATCGAACTACGTTTGTTACAGTCAACACAAGCCGGGATCCATCTGTCAAAAGCACTGCGCAAAGTTCATCCTATAGTTTGTCTTCAACGAGTGACAAAGCAGTGGACGGTTGTACTAGCCAGAGATACAGTTCCGGATGTTGTATACATACCTCAACAAGCAATAGCATCACGGAGGCATGGTGGCAGATCGATCTCGACAATCAGACCGTTATAGATTACATCACAATTTACTACAGGAGTGAGTGTATATATGGGTTTAAATAACAAATGTACCGTGTAGATTCAAAACACAATACTAAAGAGTATGTAATGTGAAAGAAAACATATAAAATTAAAGCTATTATTAATAGGTAAATAAACTAGAAAGGTAAGTCGTCTATATATGCAAATAGATACCATTTACCAGGTAACTACAGAAGGACATTATTTTCTTTTGTGGAAAAAACAGATAACCATACGATAGGTATACGCAAATGTAAGTACATGTACCAGCTGAAAACGCCTTTACTGCAAGCAGTTCATTTAGGCAGGGACATGATTTATGTATCAATACAAGCTGGACACATTAATTATGAAAGAGTTGCCAGCTGAAGAAATCTTTAATAAACAAATTTCAGACCTGGACATCTTTTTTGACATTAATATCAGCTGCATTGAATGGCTAAGTATGCCAATAAAAACCACTGTTTTGAAAACAGGTGTGTCATGTGAAAGGAATGGTTTGAGTAACAAGATCAAATAGAAACGTTAAGAAGATGCCAGCATATGACGGTGCACTGTGAACGTTTTTTGTATCAAATATACTTCGAAAAAACGAAACATTTAATGGGAAAAGAATCTTGACGGTAGATTAAGACTTTGTGTTACATGACCATGTTTCCAGTCTTCTTAGTAATTGCCATAATGTTAAATTTGGCAAAGGAAACAAATAAACATATTCGTGTTATAAACACCTAGAACATTTTAGAAGGTTACCGAAATATAAACAGTACTATGCAATAACTTAATAATTCAAATCGCCTAAAACAAAACATATAATATTAAGGTTTATTATATTTTAACATGTTTTACTCTATCTGTCTTCAGATGAAGGTTCTACAGAGCAGAAAACGCGATTCGGAGGGTACAATATATACCTGTCGAACACAACAGACACCTATAGTCTTTGTTATCAGGACACGACATCTTCTCTAACCTCTGTGGATTTGAATCCAACAATAACATCATGTACAGGTAGTACCCGATACTTAACCATCTACATAGACCGTCGGACACGAGCCTACAATTGGTACTCATCCACTCCTATAATGGAACTATGTGAAGTCCAAGTATACGGTAACTACAAGTTATAATAATACTGTGAAATCAGTCATTATCGTGTGGTCCAAATTTCCTGCTTTTTCCAAAATTACCGTATAGTGAGTACGTGGATTACAGTTCCCATTCATATTGAGAACAGTTTTATGTAAAATCTGTAATTACTTCGTGGTCTTATGAAAGCGTGGATGACGTATATCCACGAAATCCACACAAATTGATAACCCCCCGAATATGATATATAAACACAGTCATTTGATAGTATTCTTATCATATAGAAATATGATGCTCTATACATCCATTATAATCAAGAAAAAACGCACACTCAGTTTTACTGCTCGTGCTATATCCTGCTTTCTACAAGCACTTTATTTTATTTTCTGTAAAGTCACGCCGTCTATTATATTGTTCATTTGAATCAATCTTTCCGTTTGTTGTGTATTCCAGTCTTAATTTCCTGCTGATTTTCCGCCGCAAGCAATTAAACCAAATTATTGCAGATTTCGATGCAGACCAGGATTGATCACTTAGCTAGTATTAGACGCGAATGTGAGCTAAAATAGTCGGTAGCGAAAGTGGGCTTATATAGAGAGATAATAACATTGACAATTGGAAGCTATTAAGTCGAAACTTCGAGTTATTAGGTTGAAATTTCAGATTAGTTTCGAGTTAACGTATACCTGTACCTATTTTGAATTACTTCCACCATCTAAAGATGAAAGCAACGTCATATTTTATTTTTCCCGTGACGTCATTGTATTAATTCTTCCAACATGCTTTCTATTTACCCGGTAATGCGACTTAAAAGATTGAACGGTATACCATTCAGGTAAAGGTGGGAAAATATAGAATTAAAAGATGATTGTTCGTTGTTGTATGCACCGATATACTTGCATTCTTGTTTTATACAAATTAAAGTTAAACGTTACAATAGTCAATACTTGTATTTTTGTCTCGCTAATAATTTTTGTTTATCAAATAGGAATTTTGTTACAGGCCTTAATGCTATTTTCAAAATCAATTGATTGTTTTGCTATCTAACGATATTAGCTTGGTTTATTTTAGGTTGTCCACAGGGAACATTTGGTAATGGTAATTGTGATTTAAACTGTGATTCCACATGTGTAAACAGCCTCTGTGACCCAACAACTGGTGAATGTACATGTACGTACTTATGTTTCAGATTGGTTTATTCTCTGATATTGGATGTTTTTGAGCACTATTACATTTGTATTAGGAAGTACATATAAATACATGTAACATATGAAGTATATAAATCCAATCATTTTTTGCTTTGTTACGGATAAAAAACAATTGTAACATGTTCCTGAAATCGCTTTGTTTGGATATAGGATAAGTAAAGTTCAACATAGGTAAAATGGGTGTTACTTGTATTCCGGCACGTAAAGCTTTCCATTTGTTCGCTTCAAAAGCTATGATCAATGTGTATATGTGAAGATGGTAATGCTTGTCATTGTGTAAATGAGTTGATAATGAGAATGAGGAAGAGGAAGATGACTGGGAAACCCCTTGCCTTTGTCTGCATGTAAGAGAATGTGTGTACTGTCTGTCTGGTTGATATATATGTGTCAAATATTTTATAATAAAAAAAGGCTTTTCTTTTAGACAGGCTGATTACACAAATGGATCGCGATAAAAGCGTTTTACTACAGAATAATCAAGCCAAGTGAACAATCTAGAAAGTGTTTACTTAACAACGAACAGATCAAGTTAAATCAATGCTACAGAAGTGTTATAAATTGGCATAACCTGTCGTGCGTTATTGAACACTACAAAGGTGTTGGCTTTATGATAGGTTACTATACTCTATAGTAGAATTAGCTTACAGTGATGACATTCATAGAAATAACAGATCTTACTTATAAACCTATGACGTTTTACATGTTAAGCGAGAAATTCTGGTTAGATCCATCAACATTAATTTGCAAAGATAGAGTCCAAAATGAAATTCTGTTCCTACCACAACCACTTTAGGTTTCCGCACACAACCACTTTAGGTTTCCTACCACAACCACTTTAGGTTTCCTACCACAACCACTTTAGGTTTCCTCCCACAACCACTTTAGGTTTCCTCCCACAACCACTTTAGGTTTCCTCACACCTTACTCATTTTCAACTTTCGAGGAATTTGTAAACAGTTTGGCTACTCACTACTGGGTAACACCCTGAACGTTATTTTATTTGTCAATATTTTATTGATGACGTCAGGTAACAATGCTTTTAAAATTTGAGACGTCATCTTCTGTTGTGACGTCACAGTTGACGGCAATTGTTTTCCCTCTAGGAGGAAAGAGGAATATTGTATTCCCAAAAGAAACATATGCTTTTTTATATGATATCTGATCGTTATTGGAGTGAAAAGGTTCCCAATTGATGGTTGATCTTCATGTTTTATTATGTCTCGTTAGTTAATTATCCAATTTTATAAGAAATTTGGTAAACTTTGTGTCGTTATATAATTTGAAATTTTACGAGTTCGAGTAAGATAAACATGATAATCAACCTTCACTTGTTTGGGGACCTCTATATAACTTTGAAGAATGCAAGATACCATACTGTAAACTCAGCACTATTCTACTACAGTTCTATGATGTCATTTCCTTTTTTCAGACTGCGAAGCTGGATCATATAAATTGGACCTTGTCTGTAGCCCTTGTCCTACAAACTGTAACACTCAAACTTGTGATGTAGACACTGGAGGATGCACAGGTCAGTGGTTCGTTTACTCAATATCACTAATCATTTTATAATAAAGATATCCAGTTGTTAATTGGACGCAACGTACAAACCAAACCTTCTTGTACAGATATATGATGAAACTCCGTTAACATTTGGCGAATCTACATTTCCCGTTGATATTTTGAATAGTTGTTTTGATTTTGGTTTTGTACCTTGGTGTAAAGGTATATTTGTTATATATTGAACCTATGGTGTAGAGGTATATTTGTTATATATTGTACCTCTGTGTAGAAGTAATATTTCCATTCTACACTTGTAATCGCTTGCTGATTTTATTATATAACTCTTAAATATTTTGCCAAATCACTAATGACAATTCTTTTTCAAATAAAGTGATACATCCGAACATGGGTGAAAGATGATATTTTCTTAAAATGAACTAGTAACACAAAGTGGTAGATGTACTCTGTAGTTAAAATGACATGGAAAGCTAACTGCTGAGATAATGTAACACACAAGAGGAACGGGTTACATAAATTATTAATTTCCATAAAATGATATGCTGAAAATAAGTATTATGTTTATCTAATTATAATTTCAAATGAAGGTTTATATACGAAAACCTTTTCCAAAGATACACATATAACACCAATGTGTGCATATTGCGCATTTTTCTTATTGTTGGTATTATCGTTCGGTTTGAATTATTTCAGGCAGAGGTAAATACAGACGAACTCTAATTAAACTATAAAATAATAAAACATCATATGGAAATATATGTATCTAATAGAATATAAACACAAGTACACATGATTGCAAGAACACATCACACACTTCTCCGTTTAAAATTGTGTTTGTGCAAAATATTTTTTTAAACAAAAATCAAAATATAGCTAAAACTATATACAATAGGACGCACACTGTTAAGGAAAGTACATATGTAATATGATAACGGGTGCCTTTATAGAAATTATTGTATTTTTATGGTGTTTCCATGTTAAGATGTATATACAATTATGCGAAAGAGTTCTTTATTTATAATGTCATGAAATTTCAAAATAAATTCTGCTGATTGTTCTAATTGCAGTGTGTGTTTAATTGAACAACAGTTTATCATTTCGTGTTTTAAGAAAATCAAGTCATGTGTTTGAAGATAATTTTTCTTCATTTCTTTGGTATATTGCGTAAATGTATATTGTATTTATAGTATATGTTGTGTCCTTTTTATCTAGCGTGCGTCGCTGGTTTCTATGGCAGCCACTGTGACCTACTATGCCCGGTAAACTGTAAAAACAACATATGTGTGCAGGAAATTGGTCAATGTGAAGGTAAATGTTTAGCACGTAAAAAACAATTATAAATTACTTCACATTTTTACACAAATTTTGAAGATTTATATGATTTGATTAACGCTTTGCTCCCAGATGAAACTAAACAATTATTTAGAGTAATCAAATTAAAATAATTTAATGTCATTTTGATTTATTTTTTTCTGTATGAAATTCTACGTTCCTTGATGATTGTGTAAAGTAAGATATACATAAGTAATGGGATTTAAGTCATGTGTTTGAAGGTAATTTTTCTTCAATTCTTTGGTATATTGTGTAAATGTATATGATATTTATAGTATATGTTGTGTCCTTTTTATCTAGCGTGCGTCGCTGGTTACTATGGCAGCCGATGTGACGTGCCATGCCCAGTAAACTGTAAAGACAACCTATGCGTGCAGGAAAATGGACAATGTGAAGGTAAATGTTTAGCGAGTAAAAATTTTTTTATTAATTACTTCACATTTTTACACAGATTTTGAAAATCATTAATATGATTTGATTAACGCTTTGCTCCCAGATGAAACTAAACAATTATTTAGAGTAATCAAATTAAAATAATTTAATGTCATTTTGATTTTTTTTTTTTCTGTATGAAATTCCACGTTCCTTGATGAATGTGTAAAGTAAGATATACATAAGTAATGGGGTTTGTTTTTATATAGAGGTTTTTTTTATAAAACGTCTTTAGCTATATTCACGGATTAGTATCAGGCTGTGTGGATGATTTTTTTATATACAAGTCATGTAAGTTCACTTCAGTTTACTTGATAAAATTCAATGAAAGTATTTTTTCTAAATATTACCAGATTGCAATGATGGTTTCTATGGACTTTTCTGCTATGCCTGCTCAGCTGGTTGCAGAACCCTAGTCTGTGACAAAACAACTGGCTACTGCAGCCGTAAGTACATGTAATAGGTAGGGGATCGGATCAGAACAGAAGTCTATAAAACGTTGAATCTTTCGTGGCATACTGTAGCCGTGAAACTAGCAAATCGTATGTGTGCGTCATACCATATTGTCTGTTGTTTATTTTATATAAGTTCAAAGGTTACAAAGACTGTTTGCAAACTGAGTAAACAAATTTACTAAAAAGAAAAGAATAGCTCGACCCTAACATAATCAACATAAAACCTTATTAGTGATTTAAATATATATGCAAGATGTTACCAAATCAATCAGTTTTAATATGTATGCTTTTATTTCCAGCGTGTTTCAATGGGTTCTTTGGGATTAGTTGTAATCAGACATGTGCATTCAACTGTAAAGACAGCATATGCATACAGAATGTTGGGACATGTGAAGGTATACATAGGTTTTCATATAAAAGAACACTGTTTTGTTTACTATCTGTAATTGTTTACACGATATATGTACATGGTGTTATGAACTTCTTGATCCACCGCATTAGAAAGTTGATGCATATATTTATTCACTGAATGTTTTGAAGTCACATACAATTAAGTAAAACCTTAAATTAGGCTTGAATAACTTTATCGAATTTAATGCTCGTACATATATCATCACATCATGCATAAAACGAGTGAGTGAGGCCCAATCATGTATTCGTTCTATAAAGTATATTATAGCACTACTAATTGTCAGGTTTAGAGACAAATGGGCAGATTAGCTATAGTATGCTTAAAGACTTGTTTAAAATAGATCTGTACAAAATTACCTATATCATGCAATTGTGTCAACACAAACCTGTTATTGTATTACTTTATAAAATACATATATAACTATGTTCTGCCACCGCTCTTTTAGCACTTATCTTCAAATTAAGGAAAGAAAGAAAATATGTTAAACAAGAACGAAATACTTAAACAAAATCATAAAAACCTTCAACAGCGATAGATTATTCTCAAATATTTTAAGGAGTTACGTTGTCAAAACAAATAATTAAGACCAATCCGTAACATATAACATTGTATTCTATATGATTACCCTTTCATAGAATAGAAGTAACTCCTACATATAAAGGAATTTTGTCAGACCCGCAAAAACGGAAAACACACATACGGAGTCCATCGTTTGTACACGTTGTTATAGTAATGGCTATACGCAGGAGTGTTTAGTATGTTTTTCTAGATACTGTGATATTGCATTCATTGTGACATGTAAATAGTGAAAAAAAGTTATGAATACAAGAATATGGATTATGAACAGATTTAGTAAAACATACAAGATAAAATGAGATTTTTCTCATCATAACCTTATATTGTATTCATCAAATATGAAGAGGTTGTAAACATGATTTAAAAACAAACTGCATGTTTTTATTATCCTATATATCATGTTTGAAATGCTTTTAACATTCCATGCAAATTATGTTAATAAGAGTGTTTTATATGTGGTATTAACATGTGTATCTTCGGATTTTAATATGTCTGTAGTAATAACACAAACGCTTAATGCTATGTTGTCCTGCTACTTCGTACGTTAAAAACTTAAATTTTCATCTGCATATCTAACTTTCGTGTAAAATAAATTGTAGATATAATTTTGTTCTATTTTTTCCTGCAAATTGTTTCGAAGAAAATAGCTAATTACAACAAACTTTATATTTTCAGGCTGTAATAATGGCTTCTATGGTGGTTTCTGTACCCTGTCTTGTTCTTCAAACTGTAACGACAGCACGTGTAGCCAGTATAGTGGAGACTGCGATGGTATTTTCAAGGATATGCGCTTCTTCTCTTAAAACTATTTAACGTTTAATTGCAGAATGTAACCAGCTAGTTTAGATGTTTTGGATTATTTTAGATCGTTTTAATTCCCTTATATAAATATATGTGTTAAAAAGGAATAAAATAGCAGCATATCAACTTTTTACCATGAAATGTTAAAACGTTCCGATTGTTCCATTGAAATGGAAAGATACATTTTAATGAACCGTACATTATTGTAATTCTTACAATATTTACTTAGAAAAGCTAGTTTAGTGGTTTACAAATGTTTTAGCTGTTCACATATGTTATTGACACAAAGTATTAAAGCATCTGTTTACCAGAGGCTAATTGGGAAGTGAAAGGATAAATTTAGTAAGGGCTTATTCATTAATGAAACGAAAACTAATTAGCCACAGAGAAACAATTATTCAATGAATGGGTCGTGTAATAGCATACACTGGTTTATAATTCCAGCTCTTGTGTCTTAAGTTCGTATTAGTAGCAGTCTCGCTGCAAGAATTAAGGCACTGTTTTACATTACAGAATGCGTTTCGGGATATCATAGCAGTACGTGCAATCAACTGTGTCCTACTAATTGCAAAGACGGCATATGTGTTCAACACGACGGGTTATGTTTAGGTGTGTATGATAATGATGTCAACTTTGTTACAACGTCTCGATATAATACAGCATTTCTTAATCTTTTGCATAGTAGAACTCATAGTTATCTTCTAACTTTACGATTGACTGCCTTCTTAGCAGGCATTTTGTGTTGCATGAAATTGGCCGGTCGGTTTTCGAAACGTTCGGAAAAAAAATTAATGTAATGTGTACGAAATCATTATCTGGAGATATTGAGATTCCGTGATATTTCATAATGCATTACCGTATTAAAATGTCAGTACAACTGTTTTATTTTCTTAGAAGGTACTACTTTAACTATTAGATACACTTGCTTATTGACAGTTAAAGAAAATATTGCGTTACTGTGTTGTTGTTTTTTGTGATATTTCCTAATTTTTGTATTACAGTATAACTGAATCGTAACTAGACGCTCCTCTCTTTCAGGGTGTAACCAAGGATACCACGGCGATGTATGTACGCAGGTTTGTCCGTTGCACTGTAAAGACAACACATGCATCCAGGAAAATGGGCTCTGTGATGGTATGCTAAAGGATATACCTGTTCTCCAAAACATGTTTTACTTACAATATGTAAATTAAGATTACTTGACAACGGTAATGCTATTTTAAATATCTGAATATACAGCGAAAACGCACATTGATCTTGATTCATATAAGACCTCGTAGATAAGAATGTTCATTGGAATATTAATGACAGTAAGTCTAAAGGATGAAAAGGAAATGTTAGGTTTAATCGAACCGTATGTATTCATATCAGAGGTGTAACTACAAGGGACAAACCATATCCTAAAATGCTGCTTACTGTTAATTTTGACACTGCCTCAAACTTGTGAAACAAATTGTTAAGACAACATGTAAACATAAATCACTTGCTAGTGTAATGGTAGCGCATGATGTATCATAAATATAGGATAATTTATCCGAATATAGACAATGAGCACATGCTATTCGTTCAATGCATCAAATGTTTATTAAATGACTAACGCTAATATCTTTTTTATTTGTTCTTGTGAACTGAGGGAAACATTTCAAACGTCTATAACAAATAATTGAATATAAGAAGACATGCATGCATCATTTGATATTTTCATCTATAATCAAAAGGTGTTGTAATCAAATATGTACAATTACATATTTCAGAATGTGATTCCGGTTACTATGGCACCGGTTGTGACAAGATATGCCCTAGCAACTGTCAACATGCACTGTGTGACAGAAGTACTGGAGAATGCCTAGGTGCATGTGCCATTAAAGATTTTCCATTTGTGTAATTACACAAAATATAGATAAAACGTATATCAAAATTGGTAGAACCAGTTTCATTTGAATAAACAATAAAAAAAAAACCGCAGGAACTATTGATTATAAGTTGTAAGTAACATAAAACTTGTAGTTATATATTATCATTATTATTATCTATAATAATAACAGAAGTATATTGAAACTTTTTGTTTCAAGAATGTGCTGTTGGAACTTATGGGGAACTGTGTCTGCTCGACTGTTCAACCCAATGCAAAGGCGGGACATGCGGTCGGCTGAATGGCTATTGTGATGGTTGGGTTAAAATTTCAACTTACCTGTTTCCATACATTTGTAGTCAGCTATTCATTTCATTGAATATTTTATGATTGAGCTGGTACATAAAAATGAATGTGTAGAGTATTAGCGAATAACTTGATACAAAACTGTTTGCTATTTTGTTCGGTCTCCTTAGTGATGTTGTGCATTTAACTAGTTGATGTCATTCGTCTTTATTAATTGTATCCTTTAGTAGTTGTACTATACTTAAAATAAAGCTGTACATGTATCATCGGCATACATGACGTATTGTATTTGTATTGCAGACTGTGAAGCAGGTAGTTTTGGGATTTACTGTGAAGTTGCTTGTCCTGATTTTTGCAGCAGTGTTGGTTGCGAAAAGGAGACTGGATTATGTATTGGTACAGTAACCATACTCATATTTTTTTTTCGAAAAAAACATATTTAAGATTGAAATTCTCCTGTAAACAGCAAGTGAAGAGTTTCAAAAGAAAACATAAATTGATAAATTGTCGACCAGAGAAATGAATAGCAGTAAAATATTAACTCATATTGAATATGTGTTTATCATCTGAAAATAAGGCGCATCAACTAAATTCTCTTCCTTATGATTTAAAGCTTTAGTTGATGTAACTCTTAGGAATTATTAATACTTAAATCCGAGGAAGTATCTGATAGAACTATTGACTTACAATACACTTTCATATTTTTGTCCTCTGTCTACCTTAAAATTTGTCGTAAATATATACTATATCATTACAAAAAGAACTAATGAAAGTTCCATCTATAATATTATGCTATTTTGACGTTATACAGGACTACACCTTAAATTTTTAAAAAATACAGCAAGTTTATATATTTGAAACATTAAGGATAAAATTTGATGCATAACGTGATTGCTGCACTGCACATTCTACTGAATAAAACCGGTGCATTTCAATGCGATAAGTATTATTGGTATTATTCTTAGAAACTTATTAAGGTATTGAAGATCTTGATATCTTGCATATCACACCGCTTTTGTATGAGAAAAAACAGTGGTATCTTTGAACGTGTCCTCTTGACCTCATCAAAATTGTTGTTATTTGTTTGCGTTCTACGGAAGGACAGTAACTCTGCTATATATGAATCCAATATTGATCAAATATCCTGCTTTTTAAATTATATAAAATACTTACCTGTATTCCTGATTCTATTTTTGTACTAAAATTACATTGAGATTAACTAAATTTTGCACCGTGTGTTTGTTTTAACAGGTTGCACACCTGGGTATTTTGGACACAACTGTCAGGAGACATGTGGTCAGTGCAGTGGGGTGTCGTGCGATATGAAAGATGGAGCATGTGGGTGCATTGCTGGCTGGGAAGGAGATACTTGCAATACAAGTAACTTATCACAATCAATGTAAATGTATCAGTCTTTATAAAAATAAAAACGACTAATTTGTCTATGTCTATATGTATAACATACCGATATGTGTATATAATATCTCAGGCAGCTTATCTTACATTTGGAAACGATGCTGAACGCAGAAGCAATGTAATCATTTGATGTAAGAGCTTATTTTATTTTACCTTGTAAGTGTATCAAGCAACTGCAGCAACACAGAGGACAAGACCATTGGTTGTTATAATGCATGAGTAAAAAACCGTTACTTTGGGTTCTTTTCATTTCTTTTTTGTTCTATTTATTTTATTAAGGAACTCCGGTTTCCACAGAAGATCACACCTGGAAATATGCTGGAGGCGGTATTGGAGCTGTTGTTGTGATTACTCTTGTGATAATTATAGCAGTCATCGTGCTCAGAAGGTAGGTATATCAAACTGAATTCTAGTCTTTATAGCACTTATTAGTAAATTGAAAGTAGTACACAGAACTCGTCATAATTCCTTTGCTTAATGAAGGCAACTCCCTTGGTTATTAGTTATGTTAAAAAATTAGAGTTGAAAACAGGACGTAGATATCATGGCACTGTTGTCGTGGTCGGGTTTATGATATCGTTCACACTCTTGTACTCTTGTATTGTTTTATCATTTAACATTAATCAGCGATCTTAAAATAATGTTTACATATATATATACCGTTTTTGTTTCGACCTACCTATTTCCTGTACATTACCGGTATCTCACCTTGATTTTAGGAGACGAGAAGTATCGTACACGAAGAATCCTCCTGAAATGAATGCATCTGACAACACAGAAATGACGCCAGTCATGGTATCAAAACAACCTATAAACCATCAACCGAAACCGAAACCACCAAGCAAACGTGAGAAATTTAATATCATCAATAGGGAAAATTTCAATGTTCGTTCGTGATTTCTATTTCAAAAGACGAATGTCTAAGATAGTGTCTGATATTATATTTTAGTTGAAGACTGTACAATCATTATCATCTGTCGTAAATGACATTGTTCCGTAGAAGAAACATATAGATTTTAGCGTTCGACGAATGATAAAATATTGTTGTGTGATCGTAACGCACTAAAATTACTTTGCACACATCTTGCAAACATCGTGCACACAACATCAGCACATCACATTTTAATTCCTCTAGGCATGCTACAATACTGGGGTTGTGCTGTCAAGAACTGTACTAGTTAATGTATATACGTAGTGAATGGCATGGAGCTCGAGGTGATCGCCTATTAGAGTTCATCGATTATTTAACAGTTATCAAACCACAACCTGTAATATTTGTATCTATCACACTTTGTGTGGAAATGTCACACCTCATTCAAGGTTGATCAGTAATACAACAAAAAAAGGAATCCGTTACTTAGTAGCTAACAGGTAACTGGTAACAGATAGGGTTGCTTTGTTTACATTTTATCTGCGTGGACAGTACGTACACGTATATGACCATATGTATACACGCTTGTCGATTAGGTCGTTTAAAAACAATTCTAGTGCGTACTATGTCATTTACTGTTAGATCAATAGATAACGATGTAAATCTGGCTGAAATATGTCAACATACTTATATCAGGAAACATAAACAAAAATCAATACGAAATCCCACGATACCTGTCAAATAACAGTGCAATAGCTATCGCACAGTTGAGCGGACGCCACACTATTATAGCACAGTTTGTTGTCGTGTGCACACGGTGCCCATACCGCACATCTTGTTACGATTGTGCGATTCCATAACGGTATGTTTTTCTTCTAGTTGCTCTGAGTAAGAAATCAAATATTTCAATCGTATGGCTGTTGAGAATAAAAACTATTGACAACTTGTTCGATTCCTATTTTCCACATATACTTTCATGTGTATAAAGGAATGGGGCTCTTTACACAGTCATTTATCAAAAACATGTCCATATTAGGATAATATTGCAACCATTTCCCCCTTATGTTACACGGCATTACTGGCCGGTATCGTATTCAGTACAGAAAACACAACTTTCCAATTTCTTTCCGTGTCTTAACACTTTTTGTAATTTTATTGCGGAAGTAGATGGTGCACTCTATTACAAGCTTAAATGTTTCCTTCAGGTGAATGTGTCCTTCCTTCTAATACTATTTAAGATCATTAAAAAATACAATAGATATGCAAATTTGCAAATGTTTATTGATATTATTGCATGTAATTGTATTTGATCAGCTGCTACGGATAAGGATGAAAGTGCGTACTCGAACACGAATGACATGGCCATTAAAATTGACGAGGAAGTCGCGTATAACAATGTTGGCGTTACCGGTGTGTCTATACAGGAAATGCGGTCAATCATCGACAGCAAAATGGCGAATAATGCGCTAGCTTTTCAGGAGGAATTTAAGGTATTTTGTTTCTTATGATTTGCGTTATCAACATGACGAATATCAAATTTTACTCAATGAAACACCATACTAATTTGACTTTGTGTTAGGTGTTTCCACATGTAAAAACACCAATGATTAGATTGTAGCTACATCATTACACTTCTTAATTATCTCGATTAGATCGTTATACATGAAGCAATATAAAGATAACAAGCTATCCGTGTTTATTTCTCGGTAGAAAATTGGTGAATATCATAATCCTTTAAGCATTTTAATAGATTAGACTATAAGTGTTGATCACGGACGTTGTCACAGCTGCTTTATTTTCTTAATACCAGCTCGTTCTGTCTCGGAAAAAGGCAATTTGAAAATCATTGTGAATATATACAATTCATAAAAGTGACTATACCATATTGCCATTTGTCTGTTGAATAGCACGTACTGTATTTACAGACATTCCCAATGGGAGCGGTGTATCCTTATGATGCCGGTAAAAAACCATCAAACAAAGCAAGGAACAGATTCAAGAATACATTGCCCTGTAAGCTATCATCACTTTTGTTACATGTTATGTTGATAAGGAGGAGGGAGAGAGATGCATGAATCATTTCTCCATAGTTAATAATCCAGGCTTTCACGCATATGTCATGTGATCATAATGAATAATAATTTCATCAATTGGTTGATACTCATTATTAACATTCTTAGATAAAGCAAATATAAGGCGAATGTTTCTCAGCTTGGTCACAGTTTTCTGACAAAATGCTAATTCTGAATCTAGCGTGACAACAAAGCCATTCATCTATACGTAATGTAAACTTTTATATTGTAGATGACCATTCGAGGGTTATGCTGGAGACAATCAATGGCAATATCGATTCTGGCTACATAAACGCAAATTACATCGATGTACGTATGACGGATGTAACTGAACAATTGTAAAGTTTGTGAAACAAATTTTGTTCCATTCCATGCCACACTATTTTTACACACGGGAATGAATATAGCATGTCCTTTCCTTTAATTGGTCTATTTAGATTTCATTGTTATGTTTCAGCATTTTAGTCACGTTTCAATAATGATGTATGTATAATCTGCAAGCACATCTGTGTTACATTGTTTGATACAAAATTTTGTATAAAATTATTATTGTTTTTACAGAGTATTGATAAAACAAGCATTTATATTGCAAGTCAAGGTAAGTGACATATATAAACATGTTTTATCGTAGTAATACGAATTTTGGGTAAAATTACATTATGTCACACAATTATGTCGGTCTCCAATGTTATTACTTTACTTATTATTGCCTTTAATGACGTGCAATGATGAACATATATCAGTTGTTGTGTTGGTTGTAGTTGCTGTATACAAATATAAACATAATATTAAATATTAAATTGACTAGTCATCAATATAAACAAAATCTTCTTAGCTAGAGTATGACTTATATATGCTTTTGTTTTATATACTGCAGTATTTGAACAGACATATCATGACCACATTATTATTGCGTTGTGCTATAATAGTATTATACGGCACGCATAGTTAGTGTATGCGTCATATTCAGTGCGTGGTTTTGATTAATTTATAAAATACACTCGAAATAAAAATGGTGTCTCTTTGTAAGAACCAAAGTACCAGATATTCAAAAATATACTCCCATTATGTAATGTCTTTAAGTAAGAGGTTAAACATATACAGATGTATTCGTCACGTGAAAAATATATGTCTGTGTGAACGGCATCAAGAACCATCCAAATTAAAGCGTTGTAGTAATTTTAGTATATGACGAAAACATGTTTAGACTTAAAATTCTGAACATAACACGTAGTAAGAATTTGTGTAAGACTCTATGTTTCAGACATAAAGACAAGAAACAAATCAAAAACCATATATATCTAATATCGTATTAATCTTATATGATATGTTCCGACATGTATGTACGACACCAAGCAGAATACGTGAGGTGAGCTTGTCAAAACAAACTAGTTAAGTGTATTATCTATGTTAAACATCAAACATGACATGCAAACAGCGTAGTTGTCAGATCAAATATAACCGTATGTGAAACACTAAGTATACTGTACTGTATAGCGGGTAATTAACGCGGGCTTAAATTTTCGCGATTTTGACCGAAATAAGAAAATTGAATTTTCACAGATTATTATTTTTACGATCTGTTTTTTTGAAGGTACTTTATTTTCGCGTTGTTTTAGCCCAGAGCTCGGCACATATAGGGTAAAATAGTCGAATTAATAGGCTTTATGACAGCATATTGAGCAACAGCAAGTAACTGTATTCTGTTAAACAAATCAACAAAACGATTAGGTTGGTGTTTAAACCACACCCCATTACTCTTTATGTATTTTGTAATAATTGTAATTATCACGTGCGCACTATTTAATGACGACGTTACGGCTATAAAAGGTATTTTCGTGGCTCATTTTTACGCTTTTCCTATTACTCTGTGGAACATATCTTCGCGGTAGCGTTTTTGACTGGTGAAATCGCGAAAATACTATCCGCGGAAATATCCTGATATACGGTATATTAAAGTGAATATGTATAAACTGCCTTTTGTACGGTTCCAAGCAACTAGCATTCTAAAGTGATTTATCGAGTATAGCATGCTCGTGTAATTTGTTATGCAAATAGTGTGTTATATGAATGTATATCTGTTATATTAAGGACCAAAGCCCATCACCCGAGACGACTTTTGGAGGATGGTTTGGCAGGTCAATTCCGGAAAGGTTGTAATGCTGACAAATCTCGTGGAGGGCCGGAAGGTACGCCAAATCAGGTTTATAATGTTTGATATATGAACAACCAAGCGTTATAGGTTAGCAATTAAATGTAACGTTTTTGTTACAAGCGGCAAACTGTTTAACGTTTCTTTTTTCATTTATTTTTGTTATTTAAACTCAGATTGATATGAAAGAAAACAAAACAATCTCTATTATATATTGCAGACAAAATGTCACAAATATTGGCCAGATGAAGGAGAGCCGCTTGATACACATACATTTAAGCTTAAACTTGAGAGGGAACGGACATATGCTTTTTATGTTATACGTAACATTTCAATATTCTATAAAAAGGTATGTATTCCTTTAACGTAATTTTATGACAGCATCTCGTTACACACGACTATGCGCACTGTGTTTTGGTGAGATGTATTATCACACACAACTGTACCAAATTGACAGGTTATTAGATGTGACATTGAGTTTAAATATTTATTTTATGAAAACAGATAAAATAGCAGTTTGACTCACTGCTGGTATTAATGCATGTGTAACTTGTAGACGAAACAAGAACGCCAGGTCACCCAGTTCCACTTTACGACGTGGCCGGACCACGGAACTCCGGATACTCTGGAGCTTGTCCTATTTCACCGCCGTGTGACTTCATACAGGACACACCTAACCGGTCAGATGGTCGTTCACTGCAGGTAAGAGAAATGAGGATAATATATATTTTTCACAAGATTCACCTTATGATTGACGCTGCATACGTTATGCTCAGATATTCATACAAATGTTGGTTTCTTTTTTTTCATGAAAATCATTCTAGAGTTGTTTTCAGTCTAACGCTTTTGCACACGATGCTATTTCAATGAGACCCATTGGACACTTTAATGGACAATTTAAAGTATAATCGCCTATATATTGAAGCGCTGGCATTGGAAGGACGGGCACTTTCATCGGCTTAGATGCACTTCTTACTCACTGGAAGAAAACAGAACAGATCGACATTCCTGGCTACCTCAGGACCATGCGAAAGGGTCGAATGGACATGGTTCAAACATATGTATGTTATGTTCTTATATTTATCACACACTTACCTGATATTGTTGTTGTTTCACTGAATGTTGCTATTTGTTAAAACCAATAAGCATGCATTATTTTCTTTACCATATATATTATAACATATATATTATTTATTTGTTTCGTTTTTCGAGAATTTACTAAAGTAATTGCATTGATAACAGATCGAAATAACATTATATGAAATCTTCGCTATTGAATAAATATAAACAAAATAACATATTATCTTTAATTATTTCAGAAACAGTACATCGCTTTACACGAGTTACTTGTCGAAGGATTCAGTTTACAAGATACACTTATTTCCCGGACAAATTTCCGTGGTAACTTATCAAAACTGTGCCCTAAGGACAAACCGGCTAATCAGACAAAGATGTTCCAAGAATTTGAGGTTGATATTTTGTCATTCAATTGTTCTTCTTATTTATTTCATTACGCTGATCTTAACTTAAGTATAATATTAAAATATATATAATATCGGAGTCCGTGATAGTAATTATCAATGGTCCACCAGCAATATTCATACTAATTTTTGTAAATGAAAATTTGATTATGATGTTCACGATAGCATGAAGCTTCTACCAAACAGTGACATGTTTCATGTTGCAGGTGTTGCAGAAATGTAATCCCAAGTTCACTGCTAGCTACTTCATGGCGGCACTGAAGAAAGAAAACAAAGACAAGAATCGGGATCTGGACATACTTGCTGGTAATCTATTTGTCTGGCGTATTAAAGATCTAAAGTTCCGATTCCTTATTATTATGTTTCTACCTCTAACGAATAATATTGTCTACTAAATGTGAATGGCAATGGTTTTTTCTTTTCTTTATAAGTTTTGTTTTGTGTTTTTTGTTTAAGCGGACATGTTCAGACCATTTCTGCAGTCACAGCTTCCCAATAGGACAGACTACATCAATGCTGTTATGATTCAGGTAATGTTTAACCTAATCACTTTATTCATTTCTGAAGACAAAAGGGAGAGGTATATAATATTCCCATTTGAAAGAGAGGCTGGCAAGCTTAGATGAAAAGGTAAATGATACATTTCATACATAAAGAAAAGAATGACGATACTTAAAATAACTTGGATAACTCACAAAGTTCATAATTTATGCATTCATTTATCTATTCGTAAGAAACAACTCCTTTTTTTGGCCAGTCGTACACATCAAAATCTGGGTATCTGATGACACAGTTTCCTCTAGAGGACACCGTGGATGATTTCTGGGCGATGGTGTGTGACTACAGTTGTACAAACATCATTATCATAGGACAACCATCGACTGTAAGTTGTTAATGCATTATCTTAAATCCATTATCATTTGAAGTGTTAATATAATAATGCTATGAACTAAATATTTGTATTTTGCAAACGTTTATCATATACAGCACACATTTTGTGGCAGGGAAATGTTCATTATATACTAGGTTATGTTCTAAACAATGATACAATATGATATTGAATAAAACTCAATGCCAACTATTGGTCTTATATTCGTCGGTTTGACATGATCGATCATTAAAAATTGAACTTTGTAGCATTCAAACGGCCATATGTTTCCTATTATTAATGTCTAAATAATCGAAACCGGTAGGAGCACTGGCTGCAGGATGATACTAACGCTGCGAAAAGAAGAGCATTCTCAGTGAAAAAACTTCAAGAAGTATCCACGAACTCGGATGTGACTGTCAACGATTACCAACTATTAGGCTTAGTAAGTGGTAAACTATGTTGCCTTCTTTAAAATAAAATGCTTTAATTTTTGCAGGTTCATCATCAATCACAGCAAACATATATACACTCACGAACATTTATATTTATGAAATACTCCTTTCAAACGTGAGCAGTTTTGAACTTTGTGTAGAGTTTTAGTTTCTATATGTCTTGTTAAGAACGTATGTAAAATGCTGATAATGCAATCACGGGCCAATTGATATGGCTGTGAAGCGGGTCTATTACAATGATAAAAGCTTGTATCCTCATGTCGTTATCTTCGATGACATAATAGTAAAGAGATAGTTTTGTTACGTTATAGTACCTCTTGCGTGAGGTTAAATTAAACACGAAATAGAGCAGATAAGGTAAAGTGGGAAATAGTGAGGCATGCATAGATGACAATGTTGATTATGCATCACTTGTGTTATATATTATCAGATAACTTGTATCCTTTTAGTACATATTTTGAACAAAACTGGAATGATTTTCGCGTTGACTGTTATCGTGACTTTATAAATTATTGTACACGCATTTACAGCGGTTGACTGTTATCGTGACTTTATAAATTATTGTACACGCATTTACAGCGGTCAAGTAGTGCAACTACGGTCCGGATTTTCACCATGACAAAGTGGTCATCGAACTCCTCGTCACCTTCATCCGACTCGTCTCTCCTACAACTCCTTGAACAGCTAGACAGAAGACGACGGTCAGACAACACCATTCCTGTGGTAGTCACGTGTCGGTAAGGCTGGTAGCATCATTTTCTCTTCCAAGCATTGACATCAGTGACTTAATTCATAATTGCTGTGGTATCTGTTTAATTACACTCCTATCATTAACCGAATAAATGCTCTAATTATAAAAGCGTTAATGATATTTTATAAGTAGAAGATTGCGCATGCATGTTGGAATAAGGTCTTTAACAAATATTAATTTCAATTTAATGAAGGTTTGTTACACGTAGGTTAAATTTGTAATGCAGGTCCGCAACCTGCGTTGTGTTCCTGTCAATAATTGTTTATCAATATTTAAAAAGGAAACAACTATCTTCTTATAAAATTGTGCTGGAGTTTTTTTACAATTTATTACAGGGACGGATGCACACAGAGTGGACTGTTCTGTTGTATATCCAATATCAGAGATCAAATGAAGATGGACGAGGAGGTGGACATATTCCAAACAGCAAACCAGTTAAAAAAGCGGCGACCAGAAGTCATTGGAAATGTGGTAAGTTACTTAATGCTCAAACATATATATTTATTAAGATGGTTAAATATAATGTTAAAGATAAAATCTTAAGCTGTCTACCATAGCCACGACGACATTATATAGAATGTATTATATTATTTAGTTTACTTACTCATATATGTATCTGCTTTGGTATCTGATTCAATGAATGTTGATAAGAAGGTTTTTGCTAACAAAAATAAGATGGACAATTTTCAAAGCTTAACATTGCTTTATGATATTTTTTTTCGTTTTAATTTAGAAACAATACCAGTACTGCTACGACATCTTGGGACAATACGTGGATTCTACCGATGTTTACGTCAATTGAATATAACCCAATACAGTATGAGTATACATAGGAATAACAATTATCCTCCAAGAACGTATGCAGCAATGAAATACGACTCATTATGAGCGTTAATTAACACCGGTATGATACCTGGATTCCACCAACGTGTACATCAACTGAACAGAATTCAATATGAGTATTACTATATTAACGCTTGGACCTCGTGGATATGTTCATCGACGAAACGTAACTCGCTTTAAATGTAATGCTCGATAGGGACGATCTCTGGGGGCCATCAACGTATCAATGTATGGACTCGAGACCCACATATAACATGTACATCACACGAGCCCAGCATTACAGAAGCAACCTTAATATCCCATAATTGCGTGCATCAACGAAATACAACTCAATCTGAGTGTTACATGCGAACAATATAGGAAGTTTATCAACGTTAACATTTACTTATAACGGAACCAAAATGTGCAATACCCAGGACGGTACTAATATAATACAACAGTCTGGAAATATATAATGTTACAATGGGGGGGGGGGGGGGGAAACTATGACTACAATGTCATCCTAATAATAAACAATTAAAGCAACTATTGCTGCATTTCCCACTTGACATTGTATGTGGTTACTTACAGTTCGGAGTAACCGAACCAAAAGTGCTTCCTGCTACTATTAACCATGTCGACCCGGCATCACCCAGTATTTAGTTTACCAATATAAAATAAACACTGATGGCAAATGGGTGAACATATGATGATTTAAAGTTACAAATTGTTTATTTAAAATTATGGTTTTTAATATATGACATTTTTCATTCAAACGTTCGCACTTTAATATGTAGATTTTTATTATTACAAATAAGAAAGTTAGAGAAATACATCTATGTCGATGTTAACAGCATCTGAGAGTTATCTAAATCGACTGATATACTGGCTGTTTTTTGTGTTTTAAACAGTTGTGTTTGTTCGTTATAATTAAATCAATGTGTTAATGTAAAAGAATATTTTGATACAAAACAGGAACAGAGTTTTCAAAAATTGCGTAAAAACATCTGCCAGCTCACTAGAATTTGAGACGTATACTATATTAGCGGAAAAAAAGAAACTGCGCATGCCTAAAATGTGTTATAAAAATAAATGTGTATGACGTAGAACAACAAGGTTTTCAGGGACAATTTATTTGTTATTTATTATGGAATCAATAAGTTCCGCTCAGGAGTGACGTAAACACAGCAGGGGTCAATACTGAGTTCACAAAGTTAATACCTCGTATGTCCACCGTTTGCCTGAATGCAAGCCTGGCAACGGCGACGCATGGAGCCTATCAAACGGTTCAAGAATGCTTGTGGGATGGCATTCCAGATCTGTACCAACGCTGCAGCCAAATCAGCCAACGTCACCGGTTGATTAGGTAATGCACGTAATCTGCACTTCATTTCCTCCCAGACGTGTTCAATGGGCGACAGATCGGGGGATACAGCAGGCCAGGGCAACACGTCAACGTTCTGCAGGGCCAGAAAGTCCATAGCGACACGAGCTGTGTGTGGCCTGGCGTTGTCCTGCTGTAGCGTAATGTGACGTTGCTGACCTTGCACGAATGGAACGACGTGAGTCTGGAGGATCTCGTCACGGTAACGTAGCGCGCTCAAATTCCTGTTAACAACCACCAGAGGCGTTGTCCCGTTGGCTGTGATGCCGCCCCAAATCATAACGCTGCCTCCGCCGAAAGAACGTCACACGTGGAAGTCCCGCACGAGGTCGATCACCGACGTGGCCAAACTGTTGATTCGTCTCCACAAATCCCGGATTGTGTTTCGATGGACATGAAAACGTGTAGAGACAACGGCTTGGCCCATACCAGCTTGAAGCATACCAATAATCCGAAGGCGGTCATTTTCATTGAGCCTCGGCATAGCATTAATCACAAATTAAAACGTTATAAATGCTGTTTTTATTATTCACTGGTCTCAACAAAGTGACCCAACAATTGAAAAATAAACTTTCATTGTCGAATTGGATGGCTGGACGAGAAAAACGTGCAAACTGGTCAACGCCTATACAGAGCAAACTGCACGGGAAAAACTGTCAATGACACACGGATAGTGTGCATGTGTCACACTCGGTCATGTGTGTGAATTTTCATGAATATATAGTTGGAAATACATGTTCTATAACAATTCTCCGCATGCACAGTTTCTTTTTTCCGCCAGTATGTAATATATTTTGTATCTGGAACGATAACCGATAAGAAAAAACGGAATGCAAGATGAAACATACATCAAAATCAGTATTTTTTCTAAAAATATATTATTAAGATGTAAATGTAAATGTTTCAAGCGCAACAAAAACTAATATATCAGGTTTTTCGTCCGTAAACTAAAATGAATACATAAATAAAACATGTTACCTGCATTAGTTAGAAAAAAAATGATTCATGTAATATTGTGAAATGTGTATGTAGCAAAGAGTAGGCGTATTGTGTATGTAGCAAAGAGTAGGCGTATTTGAAACATAAGAAACAGACAATATCCATTTACATTTTGAGGTTTCTTGTTAACTCACAACCAAAAAAACTCGTGCACAATAATGATACAACGGCAATAGAATGTCGGGGCGCACTTAACAACTTACCGATTAACGAGAATTGTTAGTGTGTTGTGATGCATAAGCTATACATCTATAATGTGGATCTTAATTATTTTGATACTATAATCCTTAAACAAATCATCATATTTTTTTGTGATACGATGTTTATCATCACTATCACCTCTTTATAAGCAACGTAACAACCATAGGCATTACTACGTTGTATATATACTATTGTATCAATAATAGCAAACACACGTATAGCAAGTGTTGGGTAATATGATTATGCATTTGTGTATATAAGATTAAAACAAATATTATGTTTTGGTTATAACATTTCATTCTCATTTCCTGTTAAAGACCGTAGTTATTTTCTTTTATTTCTTCATTTCCATCGCATCAAAGACGTAAAACAATCTCACACGACGTCTGTCGTCTATATCAACATCTAATCCAGGACAGCCATCATATTAGGTTTCATCTGAACTCGTTAAATCTCAGGAAATTCGCTGATTTCTAGTTGTGCTTCAGATTTTAATTTACAAAATAAAATATAGTTTACTTATTGTTCTTCGAATTATATCTCCTCGAAACACTGACTCACCTTTGATTATATCAGAACGATAAACAGAGTAGACTTAAAAGAGCTGAAAGGACGACAAAAGTCGTTCAAATCAGTTTAAAAAAGAGTAGAGTAAAATGTAATAAGATATTATTACCCAATAGTCTATATGAATAATCATTAGTAATTTTTGACTGTTTCTTGCCTTTTGTCCAATTTCGGCTGTAGGGGCGAAACTGTTTCCCCGGTCAGAGCGAACTGTTACCCGGCGCGAATTAGATGCGCAGAAATCCCCCCTCGAGAGCCCCGTTCAAGCGTTTTGGTGACCGCGACTCAGTGTTGAAGCAATGGCATTGCATGCATCATTGATACTAATATTTATTTGGTAATAAAACAATTGTTTCAATGCTATTTGGGTAACAGTCAAACAGTTCCCCAAGGCTTCCCCCTACCTCGGGATGATAGTTTTGACTGTTCCCGAAATAGCCATGAAACAATTGTATACTTGCATTATCATATATAGTGTGTAATGATGTATGTGTGACATTGAATACACATTACCGAACGTAGATAACTAACCGGGTACATAGGCACAAGCTGAGCTAAATCGGGAGTTTACGTGTGTATATCACACTATAGAAACATACTTGTATATGTAACTGGTAGTGCTTGAAACTGAATAGGTAAACACAATCTCTGTGAAAAATGACAATGAAAACGTTACAATTATATAATTTAATCATTTTGTTTTTTTTGGATATGGGACAGAAAACGGATCATGTCTTATCTCTCTTTTTCTTCCGTCAGGTTGCAGATTAATCCTTTCAGTCCTGAAATGTGTTCAAACAAACAGCGTTGTAATGAACTGAACCCAACCAATGAACGACGTGTTGTTTTCTCTTAAAGAAATTCACGGTACACCGGGCGATGCAGAAATATATAAGTCAATGATACTTTATATATTGTTTACGATTTACAGTTTGTAGATCAACTTAAACAAGATCCATGCTTTATTACGATTTGTTATCCGATACATTATGAGTTTAATTGTATAAAGATTTCCGTGTATAATCTATCATGAACAGATATATGTTCTCGTCGTTAAATAAGTTGTTGCACACAAACACTATAGCCTTTCAAATATCGAGTGTTCGCTATACCTGGTTGAATATCAATACAAGGTTTGCTTGCTATTTGAAGTACGGTCACGTTCATGTATAACATGTTCGTATGACGACATGGAAAGGAACACAAGGCGACCTGGTTAAATTAATCTCCATGTTGTTTATTGTGCACCAGACAAATCTGAAGGTATCTAAAGTGTTTATTTAAGACAGAAATCAACATATGTGCGTGTGTGTATATCAATGCATATATCTATATCGTGGAATGTGTTACACCGCTGAGAACAAAATACTATACAGTCAGTAGTGTTAATTGTGAGCCAAGAATCCTTACACCATAAAGGTTACTCTACCACTTTTTTCAATGTTTACTATTAAAACAAAGATTAGATGTTTGAACTCCTTCAAACATATAATCAGCATCGACTTTATTTTTTTCCGGATGTTTCCACTTTCGGCAATATTAAAACATATTTTCCTGGTTATTAATGTAAACTGGGAAAGTTTTCGCCCAATCAAATTTCATCCCGCGTTGGTAAAGTCCGTATTCGCTCTGTGTTAATTTTGGCTTTCACTTTTGATTGTATATTTCGTTTGTTATCGCAAATATTTGCTCTATTGATATTTTGGCCACAATTTCAATAGTTTCAATCCTTATATATCAGTGTCCGCCATATGCAATTTCGGAGTAACGGAGTCCAGCAAATCGAACTCTCGCTGTGCATGCAATAATTCTGATATGATATTATTAATACATTTACAATAAAGTTAACGATTTGCCCTATAATTAAAACATTTCTCAAAATCCTTCAGTGTAATGTACATTTGATTCAACAGAAACTATAATTACTTAATGTCTGATACCAGCGCCCACGATGGCCGATATCGGACTGTCAAGACAGTGTTAATAGGAGTACGATTTTGTCAACAAAATATGTAGGTACATTTTATGTGGCACAAACCTATGTTTGTATGATACACAACATCATTATACAATATATAGCTTTATATCAAATCATGACAACAGATTCAAGTATCACAGACGAAAACACACTAAAAGAGACAATGCCTTTTGTCATTCATAAAGATTTTCCCTTATCTGCACCAGTAGCAGTACGCTCTGGTGCGGATTAAAATATTTAACAAGTAAAAGGAAAGAGAGCTGAAACAAGAAGGATTTAAGTATTGCGAAACGGCTATGTCTAGTGAAGATTATTCTACATGATTAACATAACTAGCTTGGTTTCGGCTGGTTAGCTGGGCTCATTCACTTCCTTGTTGATTATATAAAATGGCGCTGGGGAAGGTGGTGCAGATCATCGGTCTTTTCATACTAATTTGCACCATTATATCCGTATCCAGGACTGAAAGTATTATCTGATCCACTATAAGTAGACCAAAGAAATATGTATCATAGCTTCACGTGATCGTTTTCCTAAGGCAAACGATAAACTTTACGTTAAAGACCAACATTGTTTTACAAACCATACTCAGGATGTTGTTATATAACTTTTTCGATTGAGTGGAGCTAAGAAGACGGGATTGGAGCGGGGAGGGGTGGTATTTAAGATAATGGTCAGTTTATGATACAAATGTAGATGTTGGTGTTAAACCATACTTGTACTTAAATTTAGTTTCTATCTCTCGAATTGTTTAGATAACAAGTATTCTGCAAATAAACTTGCTACTCATAAACTAATTATCAAGTTATTGCCTGTTCAGTAAGCGATTGTTCGCTCCTATCTTAAATGTGGTTTATGTTATTTTGTTGTTATTCTTCTTTTTTTAGCGTCCATTTGATCGCCCGTTACAATACCGCATGTAGCCAATGCGTACACATAATTAATAGCAATGCTAGCTTTACAGCTCTGGTCTTTTCGAGATTTGTAA